GGGGGGGGGCTTTCAAATTTGTAATTGCTGCATCAAAGTCACGTAAAATTTCCCAGTATCCACAAATACTGGTGGATTTTTCTTCGATCACTCCTTCACAATCTGCTTTTTCTTGGGAGTGTTTGCAGATTTACCTTTTCTCTAAAATGTTTCTGCCCAATCGAGAATTGCTTAATAAAGAAGTTTATAAGCTGCTCTGACATATTTTACCGTTTTCATATTGGAAGGCATCTGTGTTTCTATTTTAGGTATCAATATATTTCAGGTTTTGGCGGGAGTGAAGGGCACGTATTAACAAGGAACAGCTAATAATGTGTATTTGTCTCACTTAGGAAGATATTTTTGGAGTGTTTGCTGAAATACCAGTGCTGACCTGCAGAAGGGAAATTGCAGTTTGCCTCGCCTGTCACATAGATGCCCAGAAAGTTCTTAGCTTAAAATGTTTATGTTTAAAAACAATGAAATCTTTAATGACTGCAGCAAATTATGTGGTGTCATAAGAACTGATAGCTGGATGACTGAAAAAGGAAATGAATTCTTAACTAAAACCTTTATTCTCTTTTATAAATGTTGGCTACTGATACTTGTTATTAAATAGGCGCTTCTGAGTATTTAGCATCGCTTCCCTTTCATGGATTTCAAGTCTGTTTCTCGTTTAATGCTTTAGCGAGTTTATTTTAATCTACATGTATGCAGAGAAGGAATGAGTCCACTAAGAAATAACTGGGGTTTGAAAAGCGTATGTCAAAGAGTATGGAATCAAATGATGATTCTGATTGCATGCACACATCTTGCCAGTTTTGTACCTGTCTGTAGAGAGAAATGCTGAATGGTATGGTGAGCGGGAGGTTTGGTTTCAGACATCAGTGAAATTGTGACAACAGTGAACTTGTCATGCTTTGAATGCTAAGAGGTGCTTCCTATGCTTTTTTTCTGCTTTAGGAAAAATCACAATAATGCAAATTAACTTAGTGTTGGGTAACTTTCAGGATTAAGTGTTTCCTTAACAGTCTTCAATAGGTATTGTAACAGGGATTTTGATGATGAAAAAATCCTTATACAGCATCAAAAAGCAAAGCACTTTAAATGCCATATATGTCATAAGAAACTGTATACAGGACCTGGTTTAGCTATACATTGCATGCAGGTAAGAAGTTTTAGGCTTACGTAAGCTTTTTTTTATTGGTATCTAAAACTGGAATTACTAGTGAACTTAGAAAGGTGGGAGTTTGGGGGCTTCCAGAGTCTTAAAAACTGAGGAGGAAAAGACAGCGATGGTCTGTTTCCAGAACAGGAGTCCTGCTGTGTCAGTCATATGGGGAGTATGCAGTAGAGATCTCGGCTGTTGTTTTGGGGGTGTAGGAGGAGAGAGGGAATTGTATTGTCTTGGTGTCTAGAAGACAAGCTTATGTAAACTGGTTTTAGAAGCCAATAGTAGTTAACAGTGGTTAGGAAGCACATATCAAGAAAGTGCTTGGTCAGAGAGATTCCTCCAATTAAGGGTGTTCCTTTTGTATCTTGTAACTGGCTGAAAACCACGTAGAATCTAACCTGAATTGTGGTCAGGAGGATTTTTTTTTTTTTTTCTTTAGGTGCATAAAGAAACAATAGATGCTGTTCCAAATGCTATCCCTGGAAGAACCGACATTGAACTGGAAATCTATGGCATGGAGGGCATTCCAGAAAAAGATATGGAGGAACGGAGGAGGTTACTTGAACAAAAAACTCAGGGTAAAGTGTAATCTGGCTAGTTATCTGTTACTTCCCTAGTCTGTTTCTTCCTGATACAAAGCTGTGTGATGCAGGTCTCGTTTCTCAGAATAATAAGGGTGGGTTGAATGCATTCTCTAACTGCAGCTCCAGAGGTTTGCCAGTCATGTAGAAGGATGAGGGATACTTTACTTTTCCTGTTCAGAAATAGCTGCATACCAGTGCACCTATAACAATTAGCTAATCAATATGGGGATAGTGATTTTATTTTTGAGGGTAATGGGAGGAAAAGCCAGGGATGATACAAGCCTGATGATGCCCAAGTGCTTTGATTTCTTTGCTGTTTAAGTGTACCGTTGTTTGAACTGCTTTGGCTTATTCTGGACAGCATGAGACTGACGTGAAGGCAGATTCCTACTTATGTTGAGGGTCATTACAGTGCCGAGTCACTTTCCTTCTCTTTGTTGTTTATATATATAGGTGGGCTCACATAGGTTTTTCTGCCTTGTAATTCCATGAATTTTTTAGCACGCTGAAAAGGTTTTAATTTTATTCTTTCCAATCCAGCTAGAATACCCTAGATGAAAAGAACTTCATAGAATATAATTTGCCTTCAGTGTGACCATATACCTCTTACTGTTCAGCAGAGAGCCAGAAAAAGAAACAACAGGATGATTCTGATGAGTATGAAGATGATGAGTCTGCAGCTTCAACTTCATTTCAACCCCAGCAAGTTCAGCCACAGCAGGGGTACATTCCCCCAATGGCGCAGCCAGGTTTGCCTCCTGTGCCGGGTGCACCAGGGATGCCTCCAGGTAAGATGATGTTTTAAGATAGTTACTGAAAAGCTGAGCAGAAATACAAATTGCTGCTTGTATGCTGGAATAATAATTTGCCCTGTCTCAGACTGGGTGTTAGAGGTCATAAAACAGTTTTGTGAGATGCACATAAGCAGCTTCTTCATGGGTTTTTTCTTCCCCCATTCTGTGTGCGTGTGCACACATCTTCCTTTGAATTAGATGCTTGTGCCTAGGCTGAAGGAACGTTGATGTGGTAGTAAGACAGATTAGTACTTTAAACAGAAGTCTACCAGTTATATTTGTTTGTGGTGTTTTATAGCAAGATTTTGGAAACAGGGCAGAAAGGCTGCCATGTATCTATAGGCTGCTAACATAGAACAGGCAGTTTATACACAGGTCACAAATACATTGAAGAAAGAATTTTAATCAATGACAGTAAGCAAGAACGGTTCTCTTCGTATTATGTTTTCTGACATGTTCTATGGAGACTACTAAGAAAATTTACACAGTCTTGGAGGGCTGGCACAATGAATCTCGGTCAGATTTGCAGATAATATGTTGCATTGTTGTTGCATATGTTGCGTAAGCCATGTTATTTCAAGAAACATTCTTTTGGAGATTCCCATAAAGCATTTATCCAGTCTAAATTTATTAGATTAAATTTGTTATTGACTGTATGTTGTCAGAGTTGTTTAAAATGTGTTTTTCTTCTAAGGTATACCACCACTAATGGCAGGTGTTCCACCTATGATGCCTGGAATGCCTCCAGTTATGCCTGGAATGCCACCTGGGTGAGTATCAAGAAAGACTTAATATTACATGTTCATGCTGTGCATTTTAAACTGTCACAGAAAAAGTAAAGCTAATTGGAAAAATATACATAGGGACCTGTGAACTCTGTAACCTTAATATTAAAACTAACCAAAGAACTGGATGACTGTAAACCAACATTAAAAATATGGCTGAACTGTGAGTTCATGTGTAAAGTATTGAGTAGTAGTATAATAGTTTAAAGTTTTGTTGTGTTGGTTTAGAGCCTTTTGTGAACCACTGTTGCTTTGTGTATTGCACATGTTGTACCATCTGGTTATCAGTCATTGACCTAACAGGGAAAAAATACTGGATAGTTTAAGTTTTTCTTGTGTTTTGGGCAAAAGTAAGATGTTGGTTTTTATGGTTGTTTGGGGTTGACACCGTACCCTGTCACGATGTGTTCAGAAAATCACAGTTAGATTTTTGATTTTGTCATAAATTTTCACAGATTACATCAGCAGAGAAAATACATGCAGTCATTTTGTGGTGGAAACATGTAAGCATCTCATTAATGTAATTCTAGGTACATTCATTATGCCATTTTATGTCATGTTTTTTATAAGCTTGAAATTGTCTTACTGAAAACTTCTGACTTGCATAAGAATTTGGGGAAAATGTTTAGTTAGTTTTTGTTGCTGTATAATACCTGAAGTTTTTATGCTTTATCTAAATGAATATTACATAACTATATGTTACAAGAAATGTATTCTACAAAATATTAACGAAATAGACCCTTAGGGACTTACAACCTCTCTTGAACCAGAGTACAGCTCCATGTACTCGATCCTTTACAGGAACTTTGCTTGTAAGTTTTGAAGTTCACTGAGGTGAAAGGTTGTTCGCTTCTGAGGCATAAGTATTGTTTTAACAGTGTTTGAATTTAAAAATCTTTTCATAGTTGAGCATCCTTGGATGCTTATTATGACTGTAGCTTTTCTGGGTGGAAACTGAACAGAATTTTGTCAGGCTTGCTGATGCTTAGTCCTCTGTAAACTCTTTGATAACTTCAAGCGAGTGTAATGTTATCTCGTAAAAGACACAAATTAGTTTGCCAATAATTCACTGCACCTCCTTTTGGTGATATTTTAGGGGGAGGAGGTGGTGTTACATTATGCTTTTACCTAGTTTAATGAAAAATTTTGCTTAGTTAACCTGATGGATCTTTTGTTTAAAAATTAACGAAGAATAATTGGGACCTAGGAAGCAATTTTGGATTTAGAGTGACCCTACTTCTAGCACTATCCCTGCAGTTTCTCAGAAATGAATCATTCTTGTGGCAGCAGGCAGCAAGCATCCAGCACTTTTTTGGGGGTCTGGCAGATGTCAAAGTGGGTGGCAAGATCGACTTTGCTTTCTCCAACCATTAACCTAAGAAAGGGGCAATGGTACTATGATCCCAGTCAATGCTGCTTCTGCACTGATTGTCCCTTTTGTGGCAGTGGTAGACAAGTTGAGAATAAAAACAAGACTGGGCAGCAGTTTGCTTTGCAGAATGAATGCTTGCCTGTTAGTGATGATTTGTTTTGATTTTTGGAATAGCAATGGTGAAGGTGTCTTGACTGTCACACAGATAGAAACTGCTGCTTGGTGGGGTTTTGGTGTGCACTTGGCTGCTATGTATCTGCTTAGCTTGCTAACTAAAGTAATATGCATTCTTTTTTTTTTTTCCCTCATCCAGCTTCGAGTGTCTGGAAAAATTTAAGCAAACTTAAGCTACACTTGGTTTGTTCCCTGTAAAGGAATGGTATATATTCATCTATAGCTTCCCAATGTAAAAGCACTTAGTGGTGTAGACAGCTTTTTTTTTTTTTTGTGAAGGTGCAGCCCTGTGGAGGAATTTCCTTACATTAAGGGTTGCATGTATATTTCAGATGGGGAACATGCATTAACTTGTAGTGTGGTTTAGTAGATAAGGACAAAAGGGGTCATTTAGATGCTAATTTTCTGTTTCTGTTAGGAAATACAGACCAGTTTTTTCTCTAGGTATCAGTAGCAAGAAAAAAAAAAAAACAAACCTGTTCTTAATATGAAGGAAAAATATTCCAAAATAAAGACTTCTCATTAAAAAAAAAAAAAATCCCACTTTTCTATCCTTAGCATAGAGAATGTGTACTGTATTTGAAACTCCAGAATCTTTCTTACCCTGTGGTCTCCCTCTGCCTTTACCAGTATTTTGTGGATAGCTTTACAGATTTGGGTTGTCTACCATTCACTAGAGGAAGGAGAATATGTCAAGGTAGGATGAGGGTGCTATAACCACAGACAGACTTGTGGTGTCAGAAAGGAGTAATAGCAGACGTACAGCGATTTCAGTATGATTGGAGTTAACTGGTTTTCCTACTTCCAGATTTTGGGAGTGTACTAAGATCAGGTTCTTGGAACACTCTGCTGAAACTAGTAGCCTGAAAGAGATTTCGAGAGACACACCAGTTCTGGAAATCTGATAATAGTGGAAGTAAAAGCTTGAGAAAGTGGGGGTTTTCTTAATTTTTTTTTTGTGGTTTGTTTTTTTTTTTTCTTGTGGAAAACCATTTCTAACTGTGGAGTTGGCTGATATTGAATTGGCTCTGAGACCTTCTTGAAATTATTTACTGTAATTTTTTATCTAATACAGGTATGTGCCAGTTGTATTAACAGCGTATCACGTGTATTTATACCACTGCTCGTTTTCTGTTTAATAGGATGATGCCGATGGGTGGAATGATGCCTCCTGGGCCAGGAATACCACCTCTTATGCCTGGTATGCCACCAGGTAGGTCAGGATTGTGGAACTTGTACTGTGGTGGGAGCTAAATTTTGTTTCTTTATTTCCACTGAATTTTAGGATTTATATAAAAAATAGAGAGACTTATGCCACCACCTCTTCACCCCTTTTTAATGTCTGCGGCTGCACCTGGAAAATGGTAATGATTGAAAATGTGGGAAATGAGAAATACCCAAGTAATAAACCTGCTGTGTGAAGAATTCCAACACTGGATTTTTTGTCTCTTAGAATAGCTAGAAGATATGTTTCTTGAGCTTGTGCAGCTCTTAATCAGCCTTACGTTCTGAGGGTGTCCCACCTGGCCAGCAGCTGTGCTGTGATGGCTTGAGATTTGCTGGTTTGCCCACATTCCTCACTGGAGGAGGAGGCAAGGCACTTGGACACTTATAGCCTAGTTGTGCTGCACAGTAGTGTGATGGAACCCATGTGGGCTGTTGACTTCCTGTCTCTGAACCTCTCCTAGAGCCCTGCACCTATGAAGTGCATGTAGTGTGATAACAGGCTGCAGTAAGTAGCCTTGTGTCACTGTTCCACTGTGCGAAAGACCCGCAGCAAAGCTGGTCTGTGTTTTCATTAAAGTTCTGATACCGTTCATAGTGGCTGCATGTTTTGGATTTTGTAACAGAATCACAGAATGGTAGGGGTTGGAAGGGACCTCTGTGGGTCACCCAGTCCAACCCTCCCACCGAAGCAGGGTCACCCAGAGCAGGCTGCAGAGGACCTTGTCCAGGCGGGTCTTGAATATCTCCAGAGAAGGAGACTCCACAACCTCCCTGGGCAGCCTGTTCCAGTGCTCCGTCACCCTCAGAGGGAGGAAGTTCTTCCTCATGTTCAGACGGAACTTCCTGTGCTTCAGTTTCAGCCTTAGCCACGCACTTGGCAGCATAGGCGCAGTGTGTTGGGAACAGTTAACTGCATTAATTGAGTTGGTTTATTGAGAGCATAAACTTCATCGTTGAAGCTCTAGTAGAAAACAGAATTTAATTCAGTATTGCTTAGAAGTGTTTGAGGTTACTGCCTATGTGTGGACATTTGTTTGTGACTGCTGGCATTACCCTTTATCGTATTATTTTACTATTGCCTTAAAAATACATCTTCCTGGAAGGAGACTTACTTCGGAGGAACACTGTGAACAGAATCCTCTAAAGGAGTATTCTTGCGTCTTTAGCATGATTTGTTGCCAATTCTTTGTGGCTTGTAGGTATGCCACCACCTGTTGGCCCTCGTCCTGGGATGCCTCCGATGACACAAGCACAGCCTGTTACAGCACCGGGCATTCTTAACAGACCTCCAGCTCCTGCTGCTTCGGCACCTACACCCCAGCCTCCGGTGACTAAACCACTCTTCCCAAGTGCAGGGCAGGTAAGGTATCTTGTAGTCTGGAGTCTGTTGGTGCATTCTTCAAATCTGCACTGTGTCAACAGTGTCTATTCTTTATTATTGAGGAGGCCCGAGAAGTGACTGGTTAAGTTTCTTGCTTGTGTTGATTCAAAAGTTCAATTCAGTGTAGTGCTTGAATTAATTTTAAAAGATTCTTTTGTTTGTCTTGTAATAGCCGTGAAACCAGACAGAAGTTCTGTAAGCACATGGGGAAGAAAGGAGTAGGCAAAACACTTCTTTCTTTAATCCCTTTAGTTTGTTGTTTATAAGGGTGCTTTGGGTGGGTGAAGGGATGTGTTAGCTACAGGAATCTGATTGCGTAGAACTTTATCTAGAATTTCCAAAGTATAAATCTTGATGTGACTTGTTCTCTCCTGTTCTTTTCACAGTGGGCTCTCTACCTATAGATGGATTAATTTATTCTGTAGTCTTGTTGAACAGGTTAAACATTGCCTGAATTAGGGGGCTTTTTACTTTTAAAAGTCTAGGAGTAAGTTAAGGTAGTAAAAATTTGTTTAAATGTGTTGGGGAGGGAAGTGGGGAATTGATAGTGGCTTGTGAGCTCTGCCCTTTGATTGCTCTTGTGTAACAAGTCCCAACGTTTTTACTTGTATTCAAGTATGTTGCAAAAATTGTCAGTGTACTATTTGCATTTTAGACTTCTGCAGGGAAGGTACTAGTTTACAAAAACACAGTCCTTTCATCTGAAAGGACTTAGCATAAGAAATCCTTTCATCTGGATACTTTCCACCCATTTGTTTGGAGACTTTTCACTGTTTCCTTTCTTTTATGCTACAGATGGGGACACCTGTCACAAGCTCAAGTACAGCTTCCTCCAATTCAGAAAGTCTGTCAGCATCTTCTAACGCTCTGTTTCCTAGCACAGCACAAGTACGCAGGAAGTCACAGTTAAAAAAACAAATTGCTTTGCAACTTAACCCTTTGGACCGTTCTGTAAAACCTAAAATTGACTAAACATCTTCAGATAATTTATGTTATATTCATGATCATGTTTAGCTGGTAAAACTGCAGAGTCCTTGATCGTGAGTTGCATCTTAGTAGCAATAAGCATGTCAAAGTGCCCAATTTTTCTTAGTGTGAAAGAATGAAATGTTACATCCTGGTTCTAAAGGGTTAAAAGAGCATGAAAGCAGTTAAATGCATTTTAGTGGGCAGTGGTTAGCTTGATGCATGGTGAAGGCTTTTTAGTTTGTTTTTTTAATATGGTACATCTTAATGTAGGAAATCTTGCACTTTGCATTATGTGCAAAAATTTGAAATGTTTTGGTTGGAAAGTTCAGATAACTGTAAATATACAGTGACTAGAAACAAAAGCATTCTCTCATAATGAAAGCTTGCTTTGGAGATTGCTGTGTCTTCAGAGAAAGCCTGGTAAAGCAAACTTTTCTGGTCTAACAGTTTTAATTTAAGAAAAAAGTAGGAAAGGTAAGATGTTGGAATCTGTAGTGGACCTTGTACCTGCCTTCAGTTGATTCTTCATTCACAAGCCAGATTAAAGGTCTACAGAGAGACATAGTACTTTGTGAAAATACTGCAGTATTTTTATAGAGAGAACGCTTAAAACAAACTCTGGCACAGTAGAGCTTTCTTAAGTATTTAATAAAAGCATTTATTAAATACCTAATTTTAATGAATACTAACACTTTAAGCTGTACTTTAAGCTAATGGTTGCTAAAGTATGCTAATAATTTTGTGAGAGAACAATGAATTTATACTTATAGGCTCTTAAAAAATCAGTGATTCAGGATAGATTTAGACATTTTCCAAACTCAGTATCTGAGATAAAGATTTGGTGGGGGGTGGGGGTGTTTGTTGTTGTTCCTTTTTTCTAGTTGTGGCTTTTGACCTGCAAATTTTAGACTTCCCTGTGTGTGTGTGTGTATATATATATGTGTATATACTGGGGTTTATTCTGTCTTGTTTTCAGTTGCTCTAGTATACGATAAGGCTGAACTTTACTTTTGTCAAGCTTGTTTTAATTAATGTATCTTACTGGAAGGTTTCAGAGGTCTAACAGACATCATTTAAGTTTTCTTGTGCTTTGAGAAATAAATATTGATCTATCTCTGTGTTTCGCAGACTGCAGCAGCTGTTCCAGGTCCAGTTGGTACTGATTTCAAACCTTTGAATTCTACACCTGCAACAACAACAGAACCCCCAAAACCTACATTCCCTGCTTACACACAGTCTACAGCCTCAACCACTAGCACGACAAACAGCACTGCAGCTAAACCAGCTACATCTATAACAAGTAAGCCTGCTACCCTCACAACAACCAGTGCAACCAGTAAGTTGATCCATCCAGATGAGGATATATCACTGGTAAGTTTAAATATTTTCAGTTATCTTACTGAAAAATGTGATTTATGCTGATACAGCTGATTAAATAGAATTTTTGCTGCTTTATGCGTATTTTAATAATGATGAGAGTGCAAACTGCAGAATTAAGGTAGCAGAACCATGTATTGAGAAAACTTTGGTTGCAAAGTGATGACTGGCGTATTGCAATGATCCTGCTGCAGATCTAAGCCTTATTTTTGTTGGTGATGGGAAATTACTCAACCCAAAATATAATTGCAGCTTTTTCTGCATATGACATAAACTTGAAGTTAAATAGATATAGCTAAGACAAAAGACTTCAACAGTTCAAAGTGGTCTTGGTGCTATTACAGCAGTCAGAAATACAGATTTTATGTGTAAATTAACCTTAATTTCAGTTCCGATATCTTTGTGTTTGGCTTTTTGTCTCAGCTTGTTATGAGGTAGAGGCTTTCTTCAGCTGAGGGAGGAGGAGAAGAATTTGTGTTGCATGCAAATAGCTAGATTGGCCAGTATTAATGCAGTAACTTTGAAGGCAGGGGGAAAAATGCAGATGCTGCTGTGTAATGTTACTAGTAGCAGTCTTTGAACTAGTAAGGTATTTGAAATAGTTTAGTATCTGTAATCTACTTTGTTACACTTTTATTTACTTTGCTTTTGGTGAGTTTTAGCGTTAAAATGTGTTATGGTTGTCTGTTCCTGGTTTTAGGAAGAGAGAAGGGCACAGCTGCCTAAATATCAGCGTAATCTTCCTCGACCAGGACAAGCTTCCTTGGGTAATCCACCAGTTGGACCAATTGGAGGTATGATGCCACCACAGCCAGGAATTCCTCCACAACAACAAGGAATGAGACCTCCCATGCCACCTCATGGTAATCATAAGTTTCCCAGCTTGCTTTTCTTGTAAAGATTTGTCTTTGCTATTAACTTTTTTGAAACTTGGAAGTGGCATATACTGGCTGTGGGAGTGCAGGGGGGGTGTCTTGAGCTTTTCACAAAAAGCAACTTCTGCCTGTTATTGGGGGGAAAAAAAACCACCTTTCTTTGCATCTTAAATATTCTGTTTATAGGTCAGTATGGTGCTCATCACCAAGGCATGCCAGGATATCTTCCTGGAGCGATGCCTCCATACGGTCAGGGACCTCCGATGGTGCCCCCTTACCAAAGTGGACCTCCTCGACCTCCAATGGGAATGAGACCTCCTGTAATGTCGCAAGGTGGCCGCTACTGATGCTACTACACACGCTCTAATAGGTTTGGAGATTAAACCTTTTCTCATCTTGTGCTGTTAATATAGCCGAGCTTCCGTCAATTAAGGCTTCATTGTGACTTTAAAAAAAAAAAAAGTATCTTCCCACATGCAAGGAGTTATTGGACATTCTTATTTTACATGGGAAAAATTATTTGGAATAATAACAGGAACTTTTCCTGATGTTGCAATTTATACTGTATGGCTTCTTTTTCATGTTTCATCTAGGTTTTTAGAAGTGAAGTATAGTAAATATGGTTCGTTAAATTGTGAAGGCGCTGGAATTACATGAACATACCACCTTAAAGGCAAGTTCTGTAACGTTATGTTGCTATTTGTGAAATGATGCCTTCACAGCACTTCAGGTGCTGTTGGACTTCATGTCCCCAACATAGTTTGGTGAGGGCTGTAACTGTTCCCAACTACTTGTACATTTAAGTCTGAACTTGTAACAATATTTAATGTATTTAGAGATCTTCCTGTTTCAGGGTTTAAGTAAACTGACCCACTAAGGTCGTGTGACTTTTCTGTACTGTTATAAACTTCATTGTAATAAAAGAAGAGAAAAATTTATATGCCTTTTTATTCATGACCAGCTGTGGACAACTGCGTGAAAGGTTTGTACAGATGCATGCCATGGTAGCTATTGGTGTAATGAACACAATTGCTAGTGCTGTTTTGATAAAATCTGAATTCTTTGTTCTAAAATTAAGTCGCTCCTTAGCTGCACGTCTGAGTAGACAAAGACCTGTACACTTATTAATTGACTCCTCAAAAATAATGCTGCAGGAGGCACATCTTAACTCTTGGTTGTAACTTCTCTTAATGCATATGTTTCTTTATTTGTGCTTTCTTGTCCTCAATAAATTTTAAATCATTTCTAGTCCTGGCACTTGTAGGATGTAAAAGTGATTGCTTTAAAATGCATCCTAGTGCCACATGTGTCCTGTTAGTTCATTCTTCGACTGACTCTTTTTAATGTGCAAATGGATATGAATTTCAGGAGCCTTTTAGATGAAGATTTCTAGAAGCTTAGGTGCATGTCACATGGGTGAGTGACTTCCAGTTGATGTTGTATTGAAGTTGACCTGCAAAAGAGAAAAAGCAGCCTGGCCACCTTCTCAGTGTATAAAAGAGACAGAGGAGGCAAGAGTAATGTCACATGCTGTATTTTTACTTTAATTGTTCAGAATTTCAGATCTCAACAGAATCTAAAAGATTAATCGTCCATTGTGTACTGTGATTAGATGTTGGCTGAGTTTCTTGAGCCATTTAATTCAAGTGTCTAGAGTAAAAGACCTTTTAATCGGTTTTCCTAATTACAGTTATCAAAGAGAGGTCTTCCCCATGTGAATTAGTCATTTATCTGTTTATGAGAGTAGAATGATAAATTACTGTCAAGATTGTAATTCTCTGAATGTCTAGCATCACCATTAGTGTGCTATATTTCTGATGAGAGTGAAAATGTAGAGGGAGGCTTTTTGCATAGGAGGGAAGCGAGAGCTTCCCTGTTCTCTGCACAACAGGGGGAAAAAGGAGTGATGAATTTTTCATTTGCAGGTCAACTTTCAATACATGTTCCAGCCTCAAGCCTTATCTGTCCAATTTCATTTATGGGGATATTTCCCCTTTTAGGGTATGTTAGAAAGATTATCAGCATTTTTGTGTTAGTTTATGTTCCACAGATGTTGTTGGGGATGGTAGAGTTTTTTCACTTAATACTGAGCATTGTGGCTCTTTTTCTTGAAAGTCTTGGGGTTTTTTAGCTGCACACTTTACTCTGTACTGTCTCTAAATAGTCAGAAATGCAGTACAGCTAAAATACTACATTGTTTTTCAGCTTGAAATCTGGGGCCATGGAAGGGCTCATAAAAGCACTAGAGCATCCTGTACACACTAATTGCAGCTGAATGGCCTTAGTTTAACCATTAAGAATTGCCGGGCACTTTTTTCTGAAGTGTTGAGCAGTTCTAAGACCATAACTCCAAGCCTCTGTTGAGAAGCAGTTCTCTCTGATCACTGGTATCTGCTGATCACCTGTCAGATGTGCAGTATTTGGCTTGCAAATGTGCTGAGTGGGCCTTGATGTCAGATCTCTTGTTAGCTTTTCATCTTGCTTTCTACATAAGTCTAACACACGAAACTGTTTTGCTTAGGCAGTGCTTTTATACTCTGGTTTTTCTCTGTTTATCTAATAAGGATAATTACAAAACAAAACACTGGAGAGATTTTTACAGTGTCTTACATTCATCCGTTTTGTAGTACTACACATAATATTCATACACTATAAATTGATCTTCTGCTTTTAAAACTACAGAACTCCTTGCTTTTTCTGAAGATCGTATTGATGCTGTAAGGATGCTTTGCCCTCCTGCCCCTAGTAAAATAAATACCTTGTCCCTTTGGTGTCTTGCCATAACTTTCCATGTGTTGTTCTCAGACCCCTACTTTTCCTGGGGAAAGTATTCAAAAACCTTACTGCATGTACTGTTAACTGATCATATCTGCAAGTTGTATTAATGAAGAGTTTCCCTCTTTTAAATAGCGACTGTCTCATTGTTCTGATAATAGTACCATTTTGTAGGTAATACTGCATAGACTTATAACTTGGATGCATTTTAAGATTGAACTTTGCTTAGTAGCAGTGTTATGATAATCGCTCCACTAAGTACTGCCACGTATTATTCATATGGTACTCTAATTAATCGTCAGCAAGCAGGTGAACAATTTTTCCCTGATTTTTCACGTGGATACTCACTTTCCTACTCCTGTCATTTCTGTGCTACAAGAGCTGTGATGTGGCTGTCTTCAGTTATTCTTGTCTCTCGTGTGTATTCTTCTGTAAACAGGCGGGTATTTCAGTGCATATGTTGTCTGTTGGTCCCTGCCTTCATTCCTTTGGATACTGCTTCTTAGTATTCAGAGAGTTGGATTTATGGTGCATTTTCTCAAACAGATGAAAAATAATTTGAATGTAGTAATGGCTTGTATAAAGACTAAGGCTTGGTTTACAGTACAGAGCTTAATCAATACAGTTGTGCCAGCAAAATCCCTAGTGTAATGCAGCCCTGCAGACAGTTTTTTGCTTTAGTTAATCTCTCCCTGGAAAGAGATTGCAGAATTTATCATTACACAAAAGCATATCTCTCATCTGTTGCAGGACTCTAGTGATATAATTACATAGGCAGAAGCTTTGTTTTTCAGTTGTTGCCTAAATTTGCCATGGCAGATCTTACAGTAAAATTAAAACTTGCAAGTGGATTTTGATCAATCATTAAATTTGAATGTTGAATTAAAAAAGAAATGGGATGCAAGAAAATATTCAGACACAGGTGGGAAAATATATTTGGCAAAATACTTAGAATTTAGGGCATCTAAGACTTGCTTAAAAGGTTCTAAATTATTTTATGCATGGTCTCAATATCATTATGAGAGGCTTATCTCCTATCTGCTGATTTTTAGAGGAAAAGGGATGAGACTGGCATGAAAGAACCTTGGAAAAGCCCAGGCTAGGTTTTCAGAATTCTTGATACGACTGTTTCATACTGCCTTTACAATATCTTTCTACCTTTGGCGAAGGTTGCTTTAAATAAAATCTTAAATTAGCTGGCTTATGTGGACTAAAAATTTATTCTTTTTGGAACTTTAGGATTCTATTTTTTTTTTTTTCTTCCACATATGAGATTTTTAGGTGGTGGTAATAAATTTGAGAAATTTGAGGCTGGGATGTATATGTGATAATTTTGGTGGATAACTATTCCTCGCTCTGTGCATGCATGGGAGAACATAAACAAGCTTCTAGAAACACATTCAGCTGCATCTGCCTTCTATGGTTTCTGCTGTTATTTTAGTGTATGGAGCTTTTGAACAGTGCTTACATAGAACTGTATAACTTTCTTAAAACTTGGATAAAATTGAATGGAATATATAACCTGCAGTTATTTTATAGGAATCAGAGGATTCTTCATACAAGATTCAAAAATAAAATATGAAGATTACTTCAGTTTTATAAACAGCAAGAAGGGCATTATGACTCTTCAGCTAAATTGAGACCCTGATATACCAGTCCATGAGCTGGGGCTGCAATTTTAAATGGTAACCGATGACCCTTAAAAATAGTAGTAAATGTCTTAATAATTGTACTGGTCTAGCTTCTACATAAATACTAAGGTGAGGATAAACATTTTCAGTGGCTGATGGAATCTTCACTTTTGTGAACTAGTACAGTAAATACTATCAGTTATGGGAAAAAAGCCCCAAGACAACTGACTTATGTTCCATTGATCAAGATGCAAAGCAGAACAAACTGTCCAATTCAGAAATAGCTACCATCTGTATAAAGTTTTGTTTGGGCCTAACAAATAGGTGCATAGCAGTCATTTTCTTTTGTTTGCTTGATCACTGGAATTTTGTTAAACTTTGAATGCATGTCTTTCACTTAATTGGGTCATGTTTTTTCTAAAATTTAAATTTTTCTTCTTCCTATAGCCCTGCCATAGGACAGGCTGAGGCAGAGTCTCAGTGTTGCCCTGTTCAGTCTGAGGCAAGTGGGATTTATTTTATTCATTCTGGGGGCTTTCACAGCTTTATGGCTGTTGGATATTTATGTCCCCAAACTTGCAGCAAGTTTGGTGAAGGCCCCTAAATTTGTTCTAATTTAGGTTTTTTATTCTCTTTTGGTAGATGGGCTCTATATTAATATTTATATTTTTATTATTGTTGTGTTTTGAAGAGTCTTAGGGGGAGGGAACATGTTTTAAGATGTTTGGGTTCCTTTTCTCTTAATGGAAGGTGTTTCCTTCAAGGCTGCTCAGGTAGTCCTTCAGCCACACTGCCCCCTCCCCCCCTTCCCCTGCATTGCATCTGTGCTGTATTTGGTTTTGGTCCTGTGACTTCTTGTAGTCTCTGAACTGCAGGTGCGTAAATATCAACTACTAATGTTTCCTCTTCTGGAGAGATGTATCTGTTGAAGTGCTTAAAATACTAAGGTTTTAAGTGGTAAGTGACATTTATAGTCACAAAATTGTGTAGCCTAAATTACAGAATACGGTTTCTCTGGAGGAGGTTAAGTTGTTAATAATGCTGCATGTGTGAGCTGCACGATAATGAATGTTAATGTAGAGCCCTATGAAGAAATGGAGATTCGAGTTGATAGAGTAGAAGAGTGAGAAAGCAAAGCTGCAGATTCCCTGAAACTCACAAACTGGAGAAAGCCTTTTAATTAATCTCACAAATACACCAAACTTCACAATATTTTGTCTGTTCCAACAACACTGAAAGCCATAGCACTTTCTTGAAGCCTTGTGGAATTCTCTTGCATATTTAGAATTTGCTTAGGTATATGCTTATCTGAAGCTCCTTCTTTCACACAGTGCCTAGCAAAAAGTTCTACCCTTTGTGAAGAATCAACTTCAGTGTTGCTGCTCGCTCTACTGCAGATACATTGGCTTTGAATGCTTGAGGTTGCTTAAAGACAACTTCAGCTTCAGAATAACAGGTTTTGTCCAAGGAGGTCTTGCAGCCTATCAGCAGTGAAATAGGAGATTAACAAATATCTGGGGCAGGTTTAAATACTTCAAGTTTTTGAGATCTCCTTAAAATTTGTGGTGGTTTTTGATGAGCATAGACTGTGTTTCATTTTTCTAATATTTTGCTAAATAGTGACCCCCCAGTGTGATTTCCAGTAATTTTAATTGAAGGATAGAGTTGTAATTCTTAACTTAGTTGCAAGAGTGGATTTCACCTTCCTGTTGTACTCCTCTTTGTTTGTACTCTGCCCTTTGCATTTTTCCTGTAGAAGCACGCCCCCCCCACCCCCCCATCGGTTAGTCTGAGTGGAAGATTGACATGTCCTCTGTTAACTGTTTCAAAATGATTACTGAGCATGGCATT